TCCTGCTGCCCAACTTGCTCCACACCAATTTCAGGACAAACAAGAGATTGCTCTTTCACCTGCCTTTGATTTCTTGAAGATGCTGCCAGTGGAAGCAGGCTTTGAGAATATTTTTTTTGTCTCTAAATGAGAAGGGTGGGGCCTCCTTCTGGCTACACAAGAAATTCTTCAAAGCAAAAAGAATTATATCAGATGCAGCAGCAGAACAAATCCCATGTGATCAGAAAGCTGATCAACGGGATGCCTGCTTAACTGGGATGCTTGCCAGAGACAAGATTTGGAACAGCGTGCTTAATGACTCCAAACAATAGCTGAATGCTTGGACATTTTAAAGTGCATTTTCACCAGAAGAGCTACTGTGTTTTAAAAAAAAAAAAAAAAAGGAGAGAAAACCACAAAAAACCAAAAACCCCAGCACTTGACATAGCAGCTTTTCACCACGCTTCTTAAAATGGCATTGAATATGACTGTCTGTGAGCTTGTATCTAAGCATTCACCATCAGATCTTCTTGCACCACTGCTGACATCCAGCAAGAGCTAATCTTCCTGTTGAACCAAGAGCCAGGACCCTGATGATGGCTGTTTAATGAAGGTGCTGCTTGAAGAAGAACCGTGTCCCAGGTGGGCTGCCTGCTGCACGCTGCTCACAGAAGCCTGCTAGTGTGAATTAATGGTTGCTAGCTTGAGCTTATTTTTCTGAAGTCTCTGGTTGCTCTCTGATGTTGCTGCTAACCGTTCGTGCAAAGCTGAGAATCACATGAGTGTTTGGTGCCCGTGATGCAGTTTTAAACAGGCTGCTTTGTACAGCACTTTAAAACGAGTCTGGCAAGGACATGGAGCAGAATGTTTGCTCAGCATGGTAGAGCAGTCTGGGTGAGACCTTGGAGAGACCATGTAGGTGCCAAGTAGGAAGACTCTAGTAAAGTTTTGACTTTTGAAAGTCTGAATTCACCTTGACTGCTGGCTTGGTTGAGCTGTGCTGGAAGCTCTCTGGGCTGGTTTTGCACCTCTGTCTCTGTTAGACTACGTAAAAGTCAGGTTGGAGGTGGATAGAAGTGGGCTCTGGTATGGATATGGAGAGCCATTTTGGTCAATGCTGTGTCTGGTTTCTCAGATATGGTTGCTTTGAGCTGTGTGTGTGCCAAAATAAGTGCTGCACCCTGGGCCTGATCCCTACCCTCTCTCCATTCTCCTTTGTCCCTTTGCAGCAGTGTGAGACAGACTTTGGGAGCTGGCCATGGAGGTGCTTCAGGACCAGCTGCAAATTGACCCAGTGGAGCAGGGCAGTGGCTTGCATGGAGCTGCCCCATTAGCTGTGTCTGAGCAGGCAGTTGGATAGAGTGTGGTAGTGTTGACACACCTGCCTCCTCCCTCCTGCCCTGCAGCTGCCTTTGTTCCAGCCCTGGGAAGTTGTTTCACCTCTATGAGCTCTTTTTGTTTTCAAGCTCTTCATCTTTTCTTCCTGTCAAGGTCTTTGTAGCCTTGCGACTGTCTTGACAGCTCTGAGTCACTCATGCCCCTGAAGACAACCCAGACTTTAACCCATCCCTGCATCCCCTGATGGAGGGGTTAAAGGACAGGGTGACCCACTCACTTGACCAGTGATGCTTGGAACAAGGGCTGGGGCAGATTTCAGCAGGTGGTTTTCACATGCATTTGTTCCATGCAGCAAAAACCTGATCTGTATCTCAGCCTCTAGTCACAGGCACTCTAGGAATGAATAAACACACATACCCTGGCCCACCCAGGAGCTGGTGTCTGCTGAGAGACAGTGCTGTGGGGCGTTAACACCTGACTTTGACACCACGATAGCCCACAAATGAGATCTTTTGAGCTAGAAGTGTGTCTTTGTGATCTCACTGGGGAACAGGCATCTGTGGTGGTAGGTAGCTGGATGCTTTGGCTGGTTGGATTCACTCCAGTTTGCTCAGCCTTCATGTTAGAGGGGTGGTTTTACAGCCAGCCCCATGCAGTTGCATTGGAGGGGAACGTAGGCTTTTGCTTTTTCTGAACAGCATCAATTATGTTTTCAATATCAGGGTCTTCAGCCTTGTCAGTACAAGATATTTATCTTCTATATTTCTATCAGCAGACTGTAATAAGAGCTACTGCTGGTTTTTGTGTGCTTCCTGTGTGTAGCTGCTTAGCAGTGACCTGTTTCTACTCCTTCAGGCCATCAACACCTCTGTATTTATACTGGGTCTTTCGTTTTCAGCCTTTCCCTTTTTAGGGTCTGAGGTAACTCGGGATCAACACTTCCTGACTGAGACAGCTCTTGTGTTCAACAAAACACCAGCCGCTCCTCTGCCTTCCTCTTCACACCCGCTCTGTGTTTCTTCTCTGGCTTTAGCATGATTTCTGTTAGGCAAATTGAATGCAGCTTCTAGTTTGTTAACAAAATCAGCTGCTCCAGGTTCTGTCACCACCAGTGGTGACAAATGCCCCTCCCTGGAACGGTCCCTTCTCTCTGCTCACACCTTCAACCCAACTGCTTCTGTGCCTCAGTATCTGTGAGGAGCTGTCAGAATCCTTGGCAGCCCTCTCCCTGAGATGTGTTCTCACAACAGCCATTGCAGCTTCTTTCTTTTTATTTATTTATTTATTTTAATCCTTACAAGCATTTTAATACTCAGTAAACCAGTCTTGTGAGCTGTTACCTGTCTGAACCCCTCTGCTGCTGCAGTGTAACCTGTTTCCCTTTGCTCAGGAGTTACTGGTAGTGTCTGCTTGTGCTATGGTTAATAAAAGGTAGTTTGCAAGCAAACCTCCCCCTGTATTTCCTGAATTTGCAAGAGCTTTAAGGGAGGCAGCAGGGGTAAGTGTTGATACTTCCAATCTGGCTGTTTTGCCCTAGAGCACACCAGAAACTAAGTTGAGAAATTTTTTTAAAATTTTTTTTTAGTGTACAGTCATAATATTTATCTGTCAGGTCTCCTGGCTGGGTGCAATGACAAGAGGTGGATGAGGAGGCATGTTGAGGAGAACAGTGCTGTTTGGAGTAAAAATTACAGTTGGGTTCTGGCTGCAAGGAAGAAACCAGCCTGAATTCCCTCAGGACAGGCCTGGCATGGGGGACCTGCACAGACGTAAAGGGAGGAGAGGTTTGGCTGGCAGCATCTTTATTACTGGTACTGATGCATGAGCCAGACTGGATTTCCCAATCCAAGACAGGCAGTTGGGGCTGGCAGTGAGCACAGCCCATCTTTTCCCCTCATCAGCCACAATAAATACAGAGCTCCCTGATGCCAGCTTACAAAGGAGCAGTTTTCACTGCGCTTAGCACACTTCAGATTTTAAAACCCCCAGTGCTTCTCAGCTTAACTCTAGAGCAAGGTCTGCTCATTCTGTGGCTCTGCACCTGCTGAAAATGCCTCCGTGGCTGATGAGTGTCAGTCCCCTGCCCGTGGGCAGGGTGTGGAGCAGAGCTGTCGCTTTCAGTCAGCAGCACTGGGCACACGGTTCAGACGGGCAGAAGAAGCGGTTGTGAAACCTTGGGAACGGGGCAGCAGATGCCAGGGCATGGAAATGGATCAACAACCAATAGCTGTAATAAAAACCCGTCCTGCTCCTCTGTGCACACTCCTCTGCAGGTCTCCAGGATCACAGGGAGATCCTTAGTTGCTCTTCATGGACATCCTTCCTCTGCTCTCTCCAGCTTGGGTTCAGATCCCTTAGGCTTTGTCAGTCGTTCCCAGTGAGGAGGGGGATTGCTCTTGAGGAAACAGTCTTGGAGATGGGGACTGTGTTTCAGGGAGCAGGACCTGCCTCCCAGTTTTTAGTGGCTTTAGGGGAGGGGCTGGTATATCATCTCTCTGTGAATGTTTCACACCCCTTCCCGCTGGTTTCTGGTGAATTCACTCAGTGTGAGGCATTGCAAGCCCTCAGCCTTCCTCCCTGGCTGCACAAATGCCCTGGCATCCTCTGCTTGAGCAGCAGGAGGAACATCTCCCCTCCATCTTAGAAGCCAGCTAGGTGCTTGGGCTGGGTCCTGGTTGTGTTTGAGCCCAGACACGCTCAGTCTCCTGAGAGGATCCCCTGAAATTTTGGAGCAATGTCTGCACCGTGCCTGCCCTGTCAGGATACGCAGGACTCCTGCTGTATTGGGTGCTGGAAATACATAGGGTAGATTTGCCTACACGTTTGTGCAATCCGTATGTGCTGCAAGGTTTGGGCTACTATGGGGACACAAAACAAGTGCTGACAATGTGTGTTGGAGCCCAGCAAAACCTTCTGCAGACTGGCTGGGCTGGAGAAACTCCTTAAAATAGCATTTACAATGCGAACAGTGGCAGAAGTTCAGCAGAGACCACTGTAATTACTGGTGCTCACACAAAAGAAAACAGTCTACTGGATGCTGCCTTCTCACTAAAGTGTTCAGGGAGTCACAGCGTTTGAAGATCCTTAAAGAGCTTTTCTAGCAGCAAAAGGTGTAAAATGTCTCAGAGCCACAGAGAATTGAAAAGAGAGAAGAAAATTATTTAATAAAGGGCTGTGGACTGGAGGATCTCTGGGTTTAATGGTTAAAGTCTCCCATCAGCTGAAGCAGACTTGACTTAGACTCAAAAGAAGGAAAATTGGAAATCCGTCCCAGAGAGGATTGTTTGGTTCTGCTACACTTCAAGCACCCAGCACTGCTGATTCAGGAGGCCATGCCTCCTTATTGTGGAGGAGAAGGTGGGATGTATGCTGGCAGTGATCTGTCATCCCCTTTCCCATCAGCTCAGGAGCTGCTTGCTGTCACTCTGACCTTAGGGAAGGGGCATCATTAAGCTAAATATAGGTTAGGGCAGCTTGGCTGGTGTTACTGTGGGCTAGCTTCTTCCAGACTGCAACAAGTGTTTTCTAGCTTCTGAAAGTACTGGAATGAAGATGCTGTCAAGAAACACACTGTCCATGTGTCGTTTCTTTTAGAAACCCACAGGACTAGAGGTACAAAAATAAAAGCAAGGTGGGGATGATGTGTGTGGCCAAAACAAGCTCCAGGCTATTTTATAAGCACACTTGTGTTTATTGCCAAGTAGAGCCTGTAGCCACCGAGGATGGCTTCACATACACCTGCAAATGTGAGCAGCTTTAACTGTAACCCAGAGTTCACACTGGAGCAGGTGACAGAGGGGGGGAAAAAAAATAGTTGCAAGTCACAGGCTCCTTTCCCTGGGGGCTCCTTGAGCCCCTGCTACAAGAGCAGGAGCGCACGGTCTTTGAGGTGGGCAGGGTAGATTTTTCATCAGCTAGAATTGGTTTTATTCCCAAATGCTTCTGGGATCTGGTGCTTTAAAGTCTCACAATCTCCCTGGCTATTCACAGACTTTAAACTGAGCACCTGCTTAGGAGCTTTGTGTGATCTCACCTGCCTGGCAGAACAGTAGCTGCTTTCCCAGACCAGTGCTGCTAGAGCAGTTCAGGCCAGGGAGCTGCTCTGGCCACCAGCACTGAAGCTCTGCTGTGCTTGCAGGGCCTGACAAATGCCATTTAGGGATCAGAAGCAGTTGAGGTCTTTATGGCTCGTTGTTCTGTCTCCTCATGGAGTCATTGCTCCTCACAGCATAACTGGGGTCCTGAACCTCATGCTGGCCCACCTGGGCCATCTCATCTGGTATGCTCTGTCCATGGCTCTCTTCCAAGCCCATGACCCACCTACTACTACCAAAGTTATGAGGTCTGGTGTCTTGTAACACTAATGAGTTTGGTGTCCTCTTGCTGCCGTTCACGTGGAGCATAAGCTTGGGATACTCCTGCAAAATTGCTTTTCCCTGGAGACTGTTGACAGTCTGAAACAAACCCCAGATGAGCAGAATGCTAAACCTCCAAGAGTACTATAGCAGAGCTGCCTTCCCTGGCTCTAAATGATCCTGTTTGTCTGTCTGAGCCACGCTAGCCATGGTAACATGGAGCTCAGTGCAGGCTGGTAGCAAATTCAGCCACGTAGCTAAATGTTTTGTGCTTCCAGGTCCTGAAGCTGCAGCTTACCTTGAGGTCTCTGTACGGCATTGCGGTGTAGACATACAGAAGCTGAGACATTTATTTGGGAATGAGAAGTCTGTTTAATTTGGGCCTGCCCTAATTGCTGGCATGAAATCCTGAATTGTGTCATTAAACTATAAAGATCATCAATATGCTTTGATCTGGCAAATAAAGATGCCTTGTGTTCAGGATGAGTCACAAATCTGTGAGTCAGGAGAAGCGAATGGATCATAAGAAAATGGCAATAAATGAATAGATTGGAGAGCACAGCATTTTGATGCTGCTAATCAAATTGACTAAAAGGACTGAAGTGCTGCAAGGCTTTGACGGGTAATCCAAGACAGAGCTTTTTAACTAATATTTTGTTTTTCCTCTTTCTATACACAGACAACGTTTCCTGTGACTCCATCGCTTGCAACAAGCCCCACAATGGCTTTTAGTCCCTACCTGAGTCATGTTTCTCCTGGGATGGGCTTGGTTCCTGCAGAGCTTTTACCAAATACTCCTGTCCTGGTTTCCGGAAATCCTACTGTTACAGTACCAGGAGGCTCTGCTGGGCAGAAACTGATGCGTACGGATAAACTGGAGGTATTGAGATGTCTGATACGATATTGCTGACAGGATTGAACAGGGCACACGGGCCCTGCTGTTGATCTCTCTGCTAGAATGACCCGATGCAGCACAGCATTGAGTTTAACTTGCAGCTTTCCTAGCACAGGGCTGCTGTTCTCTGCTTGAGCAGACTCTCATGCAGGGCCTGATCCCAAATCCTTAGAAGGCTCTGGAGATTTGGGAGCACTCCTGATTTCAGTGGGCGTTAGCACAGGGCTGGAATTGTTGTTTTCCATGTGCAATTTACCACGCTTAAAAAATGCAAGTGGATGGTCTGCCATTTCACCGAGTTGAGTGGGAGATGTTTTGGAAGTAACAGGCAGTCCCATGTCTTGAGATGGGCTTATTGAACTTTTACTGAAAGCTTTAAGCCTTACACTGTTGGGAATGCTGGGTACAGGGCATTGGAGAGATGTCTCCTCCCCACCTCTGTTGTCTGGGCATGCTGGGACTTAGTATTGGAGGAGTTGTGAATGTCTTTCAGAACCTAAGCAGAGGCTCTGCAGGAGATAAGGGCTGAAGACCTGAATTCAGAGACCCCTGCAGGTGTAAATTATAACATAGGAAAATAGTGGAGAAGGGTGTAATTTCAAAACACATTGTTTTGTGTTATGTACTTTATATTGCCTTGCTGATTGCTTCCATTCTCACATGGCATCTCACCTTTCCCCACAGTCTGATAGTGCACTGGTACTGGTACGTGATCTACACCACCAGCTATAGTTCTCAGCAATTTCTTGTAGTTCCTCAGACAAGGAAACCTTGCAGATCTATGTGAAACTTTTTTCTCTGCCTTTGATGCTTCAGTACTCATAACTTAAGAGGATCTGCAAGATCTTCATAAAGCTAGCAGTTTTGGTAACAGCTTACAAACACATTGCTGTGTAATCAAATGCAGTGGTATGTAACCCCAGGGTCAGAGTTTTACTGTGGAGGGCAGCGAAACTATTTATGTGAAGGAGGCTCCTCTCATATTTAAGAAAAGGTACTTGTTGCAAATAACAGCAGCATGCATCATTTAGAATTAAATGACCTGCCCAAAAGTATGCTCCATAACAAATACATAATTCAGGTGAGACACAAATGGCAGAGTTATTAACATTTAAGCTTTAGAGGCAGGAGAGGAATCCTGAGCTCCAAAGGTTTTGGCAAAACGAATTAATTTGCTGGAGTCACTTTCCATCCTGCACAAATTCTGTACTTCACTTGCATTTCGTAATTGGCCTTGGTAATGTTCTGGGTTTTTTTCATACCCTTGAACCAGTCGTGAGTTACACCAGCTGCCCCTGTGACTGTTGATATCTGTGCTACCTAAGATGAGTGTGGATTTAGAATACGCACATAGATTATGTGAAAATAATGATTGAAGAGTAACTTGATGTTCTGCTCAACAATGTGACTTTCTTTTAAGGTTTGTCGAGAGTTCCAGCGTGGAAATTGCACACGTGGTGAAAACGATTGCCGCTATGCTCACCCTATAGATATTGCAATGATAGACACAAATGAAAATACTGTTACAGTTTGCATGGATTACATCAAAGGTCGATGCTCTAGGGAGAAATGCAAGTACTTTCATCCCCCTGCACACCTGCAAGCCAAAATCAAGGCAGCTCAACACCAGGTGAACCAGACAGCTGCAGCTGCAATGGTAAGTAGAGCTCTTATCAAGCTGTATTTCCATTGCTAAGCGATTTCATTTGTGTCACTTGTGGAAAAGCAGCGTGCTTTGTAAATGGCTGACTAGAGAGCTGAGAGCATGTGCAATATGAATCCCATCTCTTCATCCTTTCTGTGTGCTCACCATAGCATGAAGCCCGAGTGGTGCAGTACATCTCGCCAGTTAGGGACATGGTGGCAAGCCCTGTGATTTTCTGATATTACATCATGAGGTGATGTGAACCCACGAAAGCACCTGGAAGCAGCACCTCCCCTGGCTAAGTCATAGGTATCAGTTTAGCTTCCTCAGTATACATGAAATCAAAGACTGCCTATCCCATAATACATCCTTTGCAGGGAGATCCTGGCCTGTTTTCCACTGACTTAAAAGCAGACAAGATATCAGTTGTTCAAGCTTAACAGACTTGTACCTGGCACCTTCGTCAAGGCTTAGCGAAATGACAAGACTTGAACCAAGGATGATTTCTGACCTGTTTGGTACTTTGGACCTGGTAGAGATTGTCCCACCTGCATTTTAATTTGAATTACAAGTTACAATACCTACAATTCTAAAAACAAGTCAAGGGAAACCTGCCAGATCAAATTCCTAGCTGGAGTAAATGTTTGCCATTCTGTTGAATTTGGTTTAATGGCACCTACTTATTCCACAGATGAGAGAGCTGGGATGTTCAGCCTGGGGAGGGAAGAAGAGGCTCAGGTGGATTTTACCCGTGTGTATAAATGCCTGATGGGGGAAGTAAAGAAGATAGAGGCAGACTTTTCTCTCTGGTGCCCAGCAAAAGGATAGGAGGCAATAGGCACAAAATCAAATCTAGGAAATTCCATTTAAACAGAAGAAAAAACTTATTTACTGTGAGGGTGATCAAACATTGCAACAGGTTACTCCATCCTTAGAGATACTCAGAACCTTCTTGGACACAGTCCCAAGCAAGCTGCTTTAGCTGACCCTGCTTTGAGAAGGGTTTTGGAGTAGGTGATCTCCAACTTCATCCATTCTATGATTTTTTTTTTTTTTTTAATATATAACTAATAATAAAAAGGTCCTTGCCTCCTTTTTGATTTATAAAAGTAAGGCTACTAAAATTCTTCTAAATACCTCTTTTTTTTTTTTTTTTTTTAAGACAGAAAAAAGGGTTGCTTTTCATTCCTGGTGAAACATAATGCAAAACTAGGAAGATTCTAGAAATTAAACAGCTGCTGTCCTTGTAGCATCAGTATTATGTGGAATGTAATTTGAGGAACCAATTTATACTGCAGCATTTATTTGTCCTGCAGAGTTTATTTATTAGATTTCTTACTATTTTTATTATTGCTGAAACAACAGCCCAGGTCTGTTGAAGAAGAACCTTCTGAAATGACTCTCATGTTTTTCACAATTGAATCTTCACTTTTTCACTAATTATCTAGGACACTGCTACTTAACCAAAGCCAGTGCATGTTTTATTCATGCTGCTGGCTTCTCTTAAAAATGTAATTAACCTTATTTGTATGCTGTTAACTAGAATCTTTAAAATATTTATTGATGGCTTGTTGCATCACCCCTGCTACCAAAACAACTTACATTATTCATTAACTTTTCAAGGTTTGATGTGTTTACTGTACCTGTTGAGGAATAAGACTTTAATAAAGGGAAGAATGGTGCCCAGTTTTCTTGGATCAAAAACATATGCCAGACAAACGAGTGTACCTTCTAAAATAGATTTGGAATGACTTCAAATCTAAATTCAGAAGATGTTTCTGAGGCTCCCAATCCTGCAGTTACTTGACAGGCACAAGTAGTAGCTTTACTCACTCCTGCTTGGCTGAAGTCAGCCAGACGAACTGGGTCAGGTTCAGTCTCCAGTTCAGGATGGCACTTAAGCACATGCTTAGTCCTCCTCCCTTCTTTTACTGGTGGTCCTTCCCTTGGCACAAGTGCTCCTGCTGACCTCTGCATGGCATGTAGCTGCAGAATGCGGGCTGATGCCAGCACAAGCCCACCTGCAGGTGCTGATCCCTGAGCACTCCTCACCCGTTGTGCCAGCCACAGTGAAGATGCTCTAAAGCACGTGTCCTGTGATGACATTACATTACTTGTAAAACTCACAGAGGCAAAATAGCTGACTAGCCACTGAGCCATGTAATTACTCAGCCACTCCATCCATGTTGTGCATGCCTTGTCTTTTTAATATATTGTATAATGCTTCTTTTTTTCTTTTTTTCTTTTTTTTTTTTTGTTTCTCTTCGCCTCCCCAAAATGTTGCTCTCTCTTGACACACTTCTGCTTGCTGTTTTTGTTACTGTGCTTGACCCCCTTCCCCGGCCCATTGCCATCATGTGCTCGCTGCCTGCTAATTAAGACTCAGCCAGCTGTCAGATCACTGAAGCGACCGCTCGAGGCAACCTTTGACCTGGTACTTGGACCTTTCACCTTCTTGCTTTGCACGTAACCATCTTAGTCTGCATGAAAGCCTTCTGCACTTGGTCTTTTGTGTTAGTGCCTGGGGAGACTGCCCATCCCAGCCAGAAATGTTGCAGCATGCGTTCAGACATGCCAGTCCTGTGCCACGCACACCATCCGTTACCTGTCTGAGCTTTGCCTCCTGAAGCCTGGATGTGTTTTGGAGGCAGGGAATAATCTTGTCAGAAGGCAGCTCTGGGTTTTGAAGTGTTTTTCCAAACAGCAGCGGCTTTGGAGTCGTGAGACATGGTGTTTTGGTGAGAATTGAACTCATTAGGTCTGCAGTGTGCTGGATACGCCAGGGCACTGGGTGGTGCAGGACAGATCCAGCACCTTTTCGTGGTATGCCCAACGGCACAGCCTGGCCTGACAGCATCACGCTGGTACTGCCCTACCAGCGTTCTGGGTGTTCTGTGTAATGGGCACAGCTCAAATTTTGGAGGGAGAGAGCCACGCAGCACCCTCTGAGATCTGTGCTGGAAACTGAAGCAGGTGTTTGGTAAGGTGGGGAGATGGCTGCTGCTGCAGCTGGCTCTGTCTCTGGTTCCTCCTCCCATACCACAGTGGGATGGTGTCAGCAAAGGGACCTTGCTCTGGCTGCCTTCTGCTTCAGTCTCAGGGATAGGTTCTGCTCACCAGCTTCTGTCTGCAAGCTGTCTTTGTATAAGCTACCTTCAATTATTTTCTGAGTCTCAAATATGTTTTACATGTTCTTGTGATACTCATAGTGAGGCAAAAACCATCCTCCTAGTCTGCTGCCAGTCCTGGCTCCATAGACAACGACTTCATCCCATTCACCCCCAATAACAAGGGATCCAATACATCCGAAAAAAAAAAAAAACAGCTCCTGTTGCCCAGCTATAGGGGTGAAAAGGACGAGTGCCCACAGAAGGGGCCTGAAATCTTCAAGCTGGTGTTGCTTCTCATTCCCAGAGAGAAGAAGCATGGGCTGATTCACTCCCCTTCCACTCTGAAGACTTGCTCTTTTTTTTCTTTTTTTTCTTAAGTAGTCAAGAGGCTAATTTATCAGAGTTTTAGGTAGCAGCTAAGGACCAGCTTCAATCAGCTGTCCTGGGATTACACTGTAAATGACATAACAGCTGGCTACTCGGTGCTCAGGGCTGGCATAGACACAGACCCAAAGCTGGCACAGGCAGTGACCTGCACGGTGCCTCCCTGCTGTCTCCAAGAGCCACCTCTCCAAGGAGACATGGTCTGGCAGAGAATGGGAAAGCCCTTTAACTCCCCTGCCCTCCTGACCTCCCCCACTGAACAAAACCCCGTCAGATAAGTTACTTTTTAGAATCTTCCTGCTCTGAAGCATCTGAAAGTTTGCAACCACTTTGTTGGAATATGTCACCTCCTCTGAACCCTTCCAGAAAGGTGCACCAGTGAAGGATTCACAGTGGTGATAAGAGCATGTATAATTTTCAGAGGAAACTGCTCAGATTGCTTCTGCTGCTTAAAAGGGAATGTGCACTACCCCTGCCCTCTCTGAGATCACTTTGTTGTTTGTTGTGCCCTGGACTGAAGCTGAAAGCTGCATGCAGACCCAGCCCCTCTTTGCTAAGTGCAAAGGGTGAAAGTGTGATCTGCTCCCAGGAGATAACGATCTGAGGGGAACTTTGAAGTGCAATTAAGTTATTTGTTGCAAAGATTTAATCCAATTCTTGTCTTGAGAAAAATAACAAGAGAAAGTTGTTAACCAGCACGTGGGAAATTCTGACTTAGGCATGCAGGGAGTTTTATCTGCCAGTCATGCTGAAAGATTGGTCTCCATGCCATGCAGAGAAGCGGCATAAACCTCTTTGTTCAGATGCTCATGTTCCAGCAGGATTGTGGCTTTCCCAGACCAAAAATGGGAGGCTGCTTGGCATTTTTGTAGTGGGAATTATTTATTGGGATCAGTACGGGCTATCCCATGGATACTGAACTGAATTAACCCTTTCACCAGCGCATACGGTGTGATCATGTTGCATAGGTTGTGTACACACGTGTGCACACAAACACACAGGCAAAAAAGAAAAGTTGGGAAAAGTTACTGTCAAAGGCTCCTGCTTCATCTGTCATGGTAAGAGCTTGTCCAGAGGAAAATGACAAGCATCAGGATGAGGTAAACCCACCAAGTAAGTTCTTTGCTACAAGGGTTTAGTCTAGCTCCTGTCCTGCAGCAGGGAGGCGTTTGCTGCAGAATTCGGTAAGGTCAAAATGTGGGGAGGAATTTCCCGTTGCCTTTTGTAAGTGCTGCAGGAGATGTTTGGGGGATTCCTTCAGAAACAAAATAATGGTGCAAGACAGAAGTTTCTCTCCATGAGCTGTTACAATTCCTGCAGGTCCTGAGACTGTTGCAGCAATGCTGGCCCATTTCCAGTGAGACACATTTGCTCCAGTGTCCATGACAGATCCCTGTACAGGAGCTGTATTGGCCCAGTTTCATCATGTGCAATTTTAGACACCTCTCCTGGGCATTTGTTGATAGACTTTTCAATGAGTGTGCTCCTAACTTGGAGCTCTTGCCTCAGCACAAGTGCTGAAGAAAGGATGAAGCCAGATCCTTCTGTCCCCTTGGACCTTCTTGCACCTTGATATATGAAATTAGAAAGGTTGGCAACAGGAGGAGTGCATCTTCAGGGCATGCTCCTGTACAGATGCTCCCCGATCTGCTGGGGAAAGGTGACCCAGAAGGCTGTGTCAAGCCAGAAGCAGCCCGAGATGGGCGTCTGTGTCCACAGAGCCCGCATGGTGGAGCTGACACAGGTTGCAGTGTGCTTGTTTCTTTAGAAGGCTCTGGAAATGTTGCATTTCTTTGGGTTTCTTCACCCAGCTGTTGTTCAGGGAGCAGCAATAGGACTGTCGTGTGGCTCCTTTCTCTCCTTTGCTCCCAAGGGTCTGTAGCAGGGTAGGAGGAGCGGTGATGGTGGGGTAGACCATTGTGCCTTGACGTCCCTGTGGCTGCTGGTGTTTGTACGCTCCCTCTGACTGCAACGCTGGGTCAGGAATTGTCCTGCAAAGAGCCAGGAGATCATGGCGAGGTCTGAAAGCCTTCAGCTGTTCTGCTTTTGGCACTGCCATGACGGGATAATGGGCATTTTGGGGTGGTGACAGCTTTTGGCCAAGCAGCAAGGAGTCAAAAGTCCATTATGTGCCTGGCAGAGTTGCTTTGCTATAATTAGTAAATTTTTTTCTGAGGCAGATTTTGGAAGCATCTGAAAAAGAATGTTTTCCAATCGTGCACAGTAAGGACCATGAATTTAAGCAGCAAGTTCTTCATCCACTGTAAATCTGTAAAACATCTCTGATGTAAGTGGAGCTACTCCGGTCTGTACAAGCTGCAAATCTGTCCCGTGCCTGGAGGAACATTCATGTAGCTGTCATTAAACAGGCAAAGTGCAGATACAGTCCTATTTGACAGGGATATCAGTGAGGGCTTCCCTAGAAATGGAAACTCTTGGATCTTTACCTAAAAGGTTTCATCCTAAAATATGCATCTTAAGGAAAAGATTTTGGTGTCTGTCTGAGAATGTTGTCCCCTGTTTGACTGCTATCTTTTGGTACTAACCAGAAGAAATTTGGAAAGATTAAGTCCTAATGCTGGCATTGGATGCCTGCTAGCATCAGCAGAGGATGTGTGCATGTCTGAGGGCAGTTTTGTAAATGCAGTGTCTTCTAATTTTCTTTTTTTAATATTAAAATCACCCAAAAGCCACCATGTGAATAGAGGTAGGGTGGAGTAATGTTTTGCCTGGAAGTATCTTGCTTAACATTTCTCAGATGAGCAGTCTCCTATAGCAAATTGAATTTAAAGTGAAACCTGTTTCTAGATGGTGACAAACTGTTGCAAGCTTTCAGTTACATTCTGTTGTGTGTTGGCCTTCATAGTGCTTTAAAATCTCTTTTCTTTTGAGTACTGTGTGTTTGTAGCCTTAACCCTTCATTAGCTAAATCTTCTCCATTACCTACCCTTCACTGTCACCTATTGAAACAAAATAGGAGTGGTAACCCTGTTTTTCAGCCATTGCTTTGCTACGTGGTGTAGACTAACACAACTAGGCAGAAATGACCTGATTCTGCATGACTTCCACGTGCGTAAATCTCACTGACGTCAATGGGAGTGTTAGATGCAAAAAGACTTCAGGGCATAATTAAAAAGGACCCTTTTCTATCACAATGTGGAGAAAAAAAAAAAAAAAGTGGTTTTTACTTGGGTACACTGAAAAGCTGTAAATCATTAGAAACATTCCTGTCTCCTAAGAACCTGACATACTACTTTGCTGTTGAGACATGCTTGGGTGAGTGATGAGTAATGCACCGAGAAAAGTTCCTGAGTTGGGTTAATGCTTTTTACCAAGTCTGATCATGAAACAGGTTTGACGGGCTGGAAGAAGCCTGGTAGGGTGATAGAATAAAAAGAGAGGATTTGCCTGATAGCAAGGCCCACCCAAATCTTGTTCAAGCACCAGACGTGTCAATGCCTTTTTCCACTGTTAATAACGAGGCAGCAGTATTTAACTGTTGGAGGCCACCTTCTAGAAACCGGGCACAAGTCCAAATCTGCTGGTGGTGATGTGTGCCGCTGGTGTGAGCGGTGAAGAATCAGACCTGTTCTTGACCACGTTGCTCAGCCTTGCTACGAACAAGTGGAAATGCATTTGACTATGAATGTCACGTTATGGGTGTAATTAGCAACAGGTTCCGCTTTACCGCCTGGACACGGGTCAGCTGCACACACCGGTGCGCACGCTTCCACACACGTACATGTAAGCAGGTGTTGAAACAGGCAGAGGCAGCATCCCTTTATTTTTTCCAAGGCATTTGTTGCTTATGCTGGTCATCTTGTTTTTAAATAGCCATCTACAGTATTTCTCTTACCTGATTTTTCTTTTTTTTTTTTTTTTTAATTATTGTTGCCTGCAACTGCTCTTTGTAGTATCCTCTCCAGGTGATCACCTCTTCCCTTCCTTCTCCTCATGTTTTTTGTTGTTTTTTTTTTCCTGTGTGCCTAAGTCAGTCCTACTGAAAAGCTCCCTTACTTCTGTCTGGACTCTGCACCTTCTCGTGGTGCACTTACTAAGTGCTTACCTAGTGAAGTTGTGGTTTCACCTTCTACTTCGACTGTTACTTAGCTGCTGTTCTCTTTCCTGTCTCGCTAAGTTGACACAGTTGCAGGTGATCTGCAGCCAAGACCCCCTATTATTTATTGCATGCTTGATCTACATCTGGGCCCCTTTTTTTACTCCACTTGTCTTTAATGACTCCCTTATCCACAGGCCCTGCCGCCTGGTGCACTTCAACCTTTACCAAAGAGGCCAGCACTTGAAAAAAACAATGGTGCCACCACAGTCTTTAACCCAAGCGTTTTCCACTACCAACAGGCTCTAGCCAACATGCAGTTGCAACAGCCTACGTTCATCCCTACAGGTAAGTGCCTCTTTGCTTTCCCCAGCATCATAGTTGTCTTTTTTTTATGACCTAGGCGTTGAGCTAATGAGCAGATTTGTAAGAGTCCTTAATGAAAGAGTATCAGTGTGTAGTTTTGTGTTAAAAATGGATGAAAAGTTAACGTTTGTTGTTTGAGGTTTTATTTTTTCCTTCACCTACTGCAATTCAGAGCTTTTCACTTGTAAAGATCCCTTCTTAGCCTTTTTTGTTTTGTTTTTGGGTTTTTTAAGCAATCAAACTAAGAAAAAATATCTGCATGTTTCTTGAATTTATACTTTCTGTTTCTCCTTCTTATAGTTCAACTGGTTAATCCCAAATTAATTCTTTGACTCTTGCGTAGCACTCTTATGGACTCATGTTAAAATGTCTTGTTGACCTCTATGCCTGCTCACTTGAAAGTGCGGGTATCTTTCCAAGCATTTATCTCGGTGACCTACATATTCCAACAGCCATGATGTTTATAGAGGGAACAGTTTGTTTTCAGTAAATATAAATTACATAATCTTCTTTAAAGGCATATATTTCCCTCTTGCTTGTCTTTTGACCAGTATGATAGCCTAAGCTTTTTAAAAGCAATTTAACTCCCAGCTTTTATTGTACCTTTAAGGTCCCAGTAAAATTGAAAGATACAGTTCAGTAATTCATGTAGGACTCAAAATATTGACGTGGCAGATGTGACTGCTGACTAGCCCATTAACCTCTATTCACTGCAGACAAATGAAAAACAAAACCTGCTTAGAGTAGTGTTACAAGTGACTGAATTAGGAATATTCCAGAGTTGAGAGCTTGTTTTTTAGTACCATTATTATCATTGCGGAGCATCATAAGAAAACGAATGCCCAGTATTTTTAATGTTTAATGCTGTATTCACTTGCCAGATGATATTTATAAAAATAAACAAAGTGTTTCTCTGGACTGGCCCCTCTAGGTGAACACGTAGTGGATCTAGATCTTAGCCTTGCTGTTCCTTGGGGTCAGGGGAAGAGCTTTAGGGACAGTCCTATGCTGAGACCAAACTGTCTCAGGTGTGAGCGTGGGTCCAGAGAGCTGGGACCTAAATCCTGTGCTTGTCTGGCCTTTCTGTTATGAGAGCACGTGGAGACACTCAGAACTCAGCAGCTGCCAAGATGTTCTTCCAGGGAAGTGGAGTCTTGTACAGAGAGATGGAAGGAGGGACTCAAGTAGTAGCCTCCCCCCTGTGCTCTGCAAAGTGCTCGTGGATGGGATGGGCTGAGCTGACCTTACCACAGCTCTGTTAGTGCCAAGCAAAATGCTTCTTCAGGAAACACTGACACCTTTGAGAATGCCAAGTCCTCCAGCTGGCTACACGCTTCTCTTCCTCGAGGTCACGCTTGCCAAAGTTCACGTAAGGACGCGCATTTCTGATGCAAGCACCATAAATTAGCTTTTACCCAGCACTCACTGTGCTGTTGTGCCCTGTCTCACGGCAATGAAATTACGCGCAGGGCTGATGCGTAACAGCTCTATTTGCTGGCACCTGCTCTCGTCTGAGGACGTTGATGCTGGGCAGAGCAGCAAATTTCCAGTCAGAGAACAGATCTCTGATGAATTTACGTTAAACATCCCCATTTTCCTTTATGGATCAGATTGCAGATCTGGTCTGGGCCTTTGCAGCGTTCTGGAAGGGGAAGCAGAGAAGTGGCACGTAGCAGGTCACACTGTGGGGAGGGGAAGCAAGCCATTGCCTTTCTTAGTTTTTCCTGTTCAGTTATTGAGAGATCAGCATCGTGGGTTGCCATGAGTGGGAAAGTCAGAGTGTCTGTTGAAAATGGCATCATCACTGCAATTGTTTCAAGTCCAGAAAAAAACCTGCCTCTTTCAGCTTGAACTAGAGACTTTGAATCCCGGTCCCCGCTTGCAGGAGTAAATTGCTTTTGAAAAGTCAGTTTTAACATGAGTGTGGTGTTCCTCTAAAGGCAATTCTTTTTTCTGCTAACATGATCAGAAAGAAATCAACATACCCGTTGCAAAAAACCAACCAACCAACCCTGATTTCTAGGGTAGATCATATAATTTAATACCAGAGTGAGAGAAGAAATATATTCTCTACTACCTGAGAATTCAAGAATTAATTTGGTTTGCTTAAAACTCTTAAAACTGAGTTTAAACTATTTATGTACCAATATACAGAATCTATTTGCATGTGCTTAAATACTGAATGCTGCAAAGAGAATACCTGCTTTTTAGTTAAAGTGATTTCTAACACTGAAGCTTCACTAATGAAATATCCCTTTTGTTCATCTTTCCACGCTTCAATGCATGGTGTGCAGGGTCAGTTCTGTGCATGACACCCACTGCAAGCGTTGGTAGGTTTTTCTACACAAACTTCTCAACTTTTCCTAATCTGAAAGAGACAGCAAGTTAGTATGCATCAGTGAGAACTTGGGTGGCTGAATGGTGTGACTGTCTATCTGCTGTCTTCTTTGAGGCTTAAGTGGTTGTATCCCTTTTAATTTCTGTGCAGTGCAGTGTTTTGTGTGACTAATAAGAGAATCCAAAGTGATGTGTTCCCAGCCCTGTTTAGCTCCGCTGCAGAGATCAAAATTTGTCACTTAAATGTCTTTACAACCCATTTAAGTCATCCAACAAAAGGAAATAGCAATGGGAGGATCCTGTTGGTTTATTGTTTTGTATCAGGCATCAGGTGGATAGAGTTTGGATTTTTGGTTGTCCTTATGAGGACACCTTAGGAGGCTGGTTTAATAAAGGTGCTGAGGAGGAACACAGCAGGGCACTGCTTGTACAGTGAGAGAATCAGGGCTTAGACCAGGGACTGGCTGAAGATTCATCTCTTGAGGGAAGTGTCAGCTCTGCAGGTACATGGGACCATAGGGAGGTGCTGCTGCTGGTGCACGTGGGATGTGGTGAGGCAGCAGGGCTGAGTACTTGCTCGTTGCTGCTGCAGGGGTCCAGTACGTTCAGGCTCAGCATCTGGGTCTTAATGGGAACCTGTGCAGGTCTTTGAGGGACCTTCACCTCCTGTCTACAGCTTCTGGGCACAGCAGGGTGGGTGAAAGCTGAGCTATCATCCTCCAACCAAGGTTATACAAGACTACCAGCATCCAGGTGTGTGCCTGCTTCAGCCAGAGGGAGAGAGGTGGGAGCAGGAGCCCTGGGGAGGGTGCAAGGCTTTTGGGGAGCAGGTCTGAAAGCTTTGGCAGGAATGGCTAAGCACTCTGCTCTCCACCCTCCCCATCCCTATAGCACAGGGAGGACACACCGCTTGCATGACGGGGAGCTGAGCCCTTCAAACACACCTCTGCCTGTAGGAAACCCCAACCCACGTGCTCCAACATCCCTTGGCTGGAGCGTGCCCAGCCCACGGGCACGCACAGTGTCTGCTGGGGTGGAGGGGAAGGCAACTCTGCTTCCCCACTGCATGTTTGCAGGGATGGCTGGGCCTTCCCACAGGCTCCCCAACCTTGTAAACTCCCCACCCCTGGGTTTGGGGGATGCCTGTGTGTGCCCTGCAGGGAGCATCCCCTCCAGCACCGTGCTCTGCAGGATGCACAGCTTCAGGAGACTGCCCAGCTCCCTGCTGTCGTGTTGTGCGTTTGGATGTTCTTTCTGCAAATTGTAGCTGTTCAGATGCATTCATATATATTTCCCTCTTGGCCCTCTCCCCTTTCCACCTCCCCCCACCTCACAGGAGGGGAGTTTTGCCAAATCCTCTAGAATTAGGGTGGAAAGGAAGCACGCTGAATTTGGTACGGAGAGCACTCGGGCTGCCAGCTGCTCGTTGGCAGTGCCTCCACCTCTGCCCTGTGCTGAAACATCGTCCCCGCTAGAGAGAGGCGAGAAAACCCGGTGAAAGGGCTGCGGCGGCCGCTGCAAAGTGCATCATGTACCTCTGGTTGCTGGCGGGGATGGGGTGGGGAGGGAAGGGGACAAGCTTTCCCCAGGTGGGTGGGAGGGTGCGCTTGCCAAAATGTCCCCACCCAAAGGAACATGCACTGGCTGTGTCTAACTCCCCACGGGTGCGAGCTGACGTGGGCTTTTGCTAGCACACCCGCCCTCTCCCCCCTTTGGAAATTTGGCCCTTGGAGTCTAATACATCATTGTTCTGCTTATAAATGTACTAAGTGTTGAGAATGTTTTGGTTTTTTCCTTAATTATAATTGTAATTGGCTTTTCCCCTTCTCTCTTGTTTATTTTTTTTCCCAACGCTGTCTTGCTTTGCACTGTGATTGCATGCTGCGCCCCGATGTGTCCTTCATGACGATGTCACATGGCTTGTTGCTGTGATTCCTGCCACGCCCCCAAATCCACCACATGTTGCCATGGTTACATTAAAAATACAAAACAAAACAAAAAAAAATATATATATACGCTCCACCCTCCCGTATGTCGCTTCCATGGTTCCCTTCCGAAAGTGCCCATGATGCACGGTGCTACGCCCACCACTGTGTCTGCAGCAACAACTCCTGCCACCAGCGTCCCCTTCGCTGCAACAGCTACCGCCAATCAGGTTTGGCCCTTTCAATGGCTTTCTTTCACGTGTTCAGATCTCGAGGACCGGGCGAGGGCCGGATCCTGCGTGGGGCCGAGCGCCTCCCCGACCCGCTCGGCTTGGCGCAGGCTCGGGGGAAAACGCGGGCTGGGGGGCGCAGAGGCAGCGTGTGTGTGTGTGTGTGTGTGTGTCCGGGGATCGGTGAGGGGGCACTGGCCGGTCCTGCCATGTGTGGGATGGGCAACAAGCCTGGCTGGAGCGTAGGGATGGGCGATTGGCAGGGGTGCAGGTGCTTCTCCAAAAACAACATTCCCCCAGGTCCTGAAAAACTGGGCTGCAAAACTCCCAACCGTACTGTTATGCAAGACCTGCAGCACTTCTGCTTTCAGTCTCAAGCAGAAATACCACCCCGAGCATCCTTCCCCGTGGTATTTTGGCATGTCTTCTCCTGGCTGGAAAGTGGAAGTGAAAACACAAAGCGGCCTCCCCACACCACAAGTTTGGACTCTAAAACCAACCAAGGCCAAAACAAACCAACCAAAACCCAAAAAATCGGGGGCAAGGCTCTGAAATCTGAAGCTTATTTACACCAGTAACGTCACCCATCCCTACAGAGATGACTCTGGATGTGCAGTACGTGCTGTTGTAGCACTGCCATAAGTGTACAGGATTTCATGCAT